ATATTTATGAGCTGTGGAAAAGGGTGAATTTACAATCTTCGAACATTATAGGAATTTCCTTTCGTGTGCTCCAAGAGATTAAAAATTATACATAATTCTCGAATTAGGATTTTCTCTTTAGTAAATTATCATCATTTCATCGGTCACAATAATAACCTATCAGTAACGTCAAATTGACAACATATCAAGTACCTACCTATTGAATTGATGATATATTCGAGTCGTCGAATTAATGTCCTATCCAGCTATCTCTCAGAAAAATTATTTTCCAAAAAAATAATGAAACAAGTCGATTTTTCGAAAATATTCCATACTTCAACCCTCTACTCCCCAGCAACCACCCCAATAATTTGAATGGGAAATAGCGGTAGTTTATACATCATTGTAAAGATAATTCTGACACTAGTAAAGCGAAATGTTTTGAATTCCAACAATGCATTCTCGAGATATTCGATTTCAAATGGTATTCATTTTACTTCATTATTTGGTATGTTCTCTCCTCGTATAAAATAAAAATATTGCCCCTAACTGTCACTACGTTTATTAACAAATTTTTCTATCAGGGAGCCCAAAACAATAGTTATTTGTTTAACTAGGCAGCAAAGTAGTAGATTGACTGCCGAGGCTGAATTCATAGCCGAGCGTAGCGAGGCTAGGAATCCAGCTAAGGCAGTCAATCTACTTTGCTGCCGAGTTGAACATATAATTTTTTCTCCGATTGTTCATGATGATATATATCTCTTTATTTATCCTGTAGTGTTCAAATAAAATAAAATTTGATAGAAATTGCCGTTGTTGGAATGGTTGGTTGCTATGGAAATGTCCATAATAATTATATTTTGACAATTCATGAAATTTCTGACAGTTATGCGAAAAAATTTGGGTATATTTGAATTATTATATACTGGACAGTGATGGCGACCTGGAAGTACTTCCACCTCCAGAAATGAGGGAGGTGGCAAAAAATGTGGAGTTGAATTTGTTGCCGGAGAAGTCTCGGATGAAATATGAAGGAAATTATAAACGATTTATGGATTATTGATTTTGCTGATACATATCAATCAGCAAAGTAACCACTTTGCTGCCTAGGCAGCAAAGTACTCACTTTGCTGCCTAGGCAGGAAAAGTTATACTTTGCTGATTGATATGTGTCAGCAAAATTAATATTTGCTGCCTATCGGAGAAAAAAATCCTTGTCAGTGACACTATGTCTAGAGAAATGTTTGAAGAGAAGAAATAAATATTATTGGATCATTCTTTTATAGGCTCCCTGATGATGAAAAAAAAATCGTTAAGCGCAATGACATTCTGGAGCAAATCATCTGATTTGTCCCACCAGACATATATCGAAATAATATTTATATTTTTGATTTATGGAAACGAGGAGACAAAATCCCAAATAATCAAGTAAAATGAATGTACCACCTCCTTGATTCACCTACAGACAGTATTTTTCGAAGGGTATGTTTTTCAATTATGGGTAATCGAATGCACGGAATGAATTTTGAATGGTTATCCACATTTAATATTCAAAATTACCTCCTTCATTGACTTCCAGGCAGTGGGAGAACATATTTGCAAATTTTGTTTTGCACATTTGAAATGTTCCTCTAACTAACGGATTCTGGATGGCCCCAGAGAAAAACATCATCACGTGATGTCCGGCGAGCGTGCTGGCCATTTTATTGGTCCTCTACGACCTATCCATTTGTTTGGGTAATTTTGGGGTAGCAATTATCTCAGCTGTCAACAGATTTTCATTACCTACATTACCATCATCATCGAGGTCCGTGAGAGAATGACTATCCCAAAATTTCCCGAACAAATGAATAAGTCGTGGAGGACCAATAGAATGGACAGCACGTTTGCCGGACTTGGTACCCAATGATTTTTTCCTAGTTAGTAATTCAGAATCGCTCATCTGTAAAACGAAACCCACTGACCTGAACGATTTGGAATAGAGATTTTCACATAGGCTCTACCACTGTCTGGGGTCGATGAAGGTAATTTTTTCTTGTAGATACCTATTCAATAATCCATTCCGTACATTTATTTGAAGACAATTGAAAACATAGGTATCATTCGAACTAGAATATCTCGAGATCGCTTTGTTGGAATTCAAAAAACTTTGCACTGCTACTGTCGAAATTAAATTAAGTTTGCAATGACGTTTAACACGATTCACATTTCTTATTCGAATCATCGAGGGGTATGGATCTTCCTGGAATTAGACTTATTTTCTGAATTCTGGGAAACAATAACCAGCGCATATTCCTTGCTGAAAAAATAAAGGTTCCCACAAACAGTTTTTATAGGAGGACCTTTCGTTTCCATAATATCTAACTCCTGCTGAACGCTGTGTATTTCGGTACATTCTCAACTCACTTCTCATCAATAATCACACCAGGGTTGACTCAGGAGCAAAATGGAAATATACCTGAATGATGAATGAAGCGCCTTCCTCGAATCTTTCTGCATAGAAAAACGCGATTTCCTGCCGTGCATAGGCAAAGAGCTCGACAATAAACATACTTTTCTCATGTTTTCAACCCAAATTCTAGGAAAAATTGTTGTGGCAAACTTCAGCACCCCAAAAAACCTTCTATACCAGCTGAGCTGAGCAAATACTCTGAGAAAAGTATGTAAAAAAACAAAAATTTTTAGGTCACAGTGGGTATTTGGATACTTTCAAAGTATTTGAGTATTTCCAAAGTATCTAAATACTTTCAAAGTATTTAATTATTCGTAAAGTAATCAAATACGCTGGAAGCATTTGGATATTTCCGACGTATTTGAGTATTTCCAAAGAATTCATATACTTCCAGAGTATTTAAATACTTTAAGAGTAAAATACATTCATGTAACTTGAGTATTTTTGACGCTTTTAAACACATTGTGTTATGTTGATTCGAGTAATTGAGGCAGTTTCCATAGCAAAAGTATGAAAATAGTTATTTATTATACAAGGGAAAAAAGTAGTAGATTTTAGCTCCAGGTTGTGTTGTCTCCCGACGCGTAGCGGAGGGAGACAAAAAACCGTGAGCTAAAATCTAATATTTTTCCCGTGTATAATACACTATTTTTTTCTGTGACAGAAGGAAGGACGAATCAATATTGAGAAGATATTACATTATTTCGAAATCTGAAAATTATCGACGTGAAATTTCAAGTTTTTAACAGTAGGGACACCTGCGTTTTATAGACATCTTTATCATTCTTTTGAAGTAATCAAATATCTGATGTCACTTCTGTCAGTTCAATTCTGTGATTTGATTTTAAAAAATTGCGAATTCAGTAGTTGTTTAGTGATATACGAAACCGCGAAGTCGAATGGAAGATAAAAGGACTTGCAGTTCTTTCTCGGAGACGGTATTATTGACTCATTTTTCGGAACTATAGCACAACAAAAGCCATTTACAGAGTATATATATGTGATATAAATCCGGGAAAAAAGTACTTACTTTTTTCCCACGGGAAAAAAGTAATTTATGAAAAGTGACATTTTATAACCTATATACCAACAGAGATGAAATGCCAAACTTTTTTCCCGTCACAGAAAAATAGTTATTTATTATACAAGGGAAAAAAGTTGTGGATTTTAGCTCCAGGTTGTGTTGTCTCCCGACGCGTAGCGGAGGGAGACAAAAAACCGTGAGCTAAAATCTAATATTTTTCCCGTGTATAATACACTATTTTTTTCTGTGACAGAAGGAAGGACGAATCAATATTGAGAAGATATTACATTATTTCGAAATCTGAAAATTATCGACGTGAAATTTCAAGTTTTTAACAGTAGGGACACCTGCGTTTTATAGGCATCTTCATCATTCTTTTGAAGTAATCAAATATCTGATGTCACTACTGTCAGTTCAATTCTGTGATTTGATTTTAAAAAATTGCGAATTCAGTAGTTGTTTAGTAATATACGAAACTGCGAAGTCGAATGGAAGATAAAAGGACTTGCAGTTCTTTCTCGGAGACGGTTTTATTGACTCATTTTTCGGAACTATTGCACAACAAAAGCCATTAACAGAGTATATATATGTGATATATATCCGGGAAAGAAGTACTCACTTTTTTCCCACGGGAAAAAAGTAATTTATGAAAAGTGACATTTCATAACCTGCCAACAGAGATAAAATGCCAAACTTTTTTCCCGTCACAGAAAAAAATATATAATTCTTTGTACTGCACTGGGAAGGCGTCAATTTGTCAAAACCCGACATCAATAGAGAAGGCTGATATCTGACTACTGACATCACTAACCTATGGTTGTTGAACAGAATTGTCATTCAGTTCTACTCGATTTCTTTGGGTATTCGATCCTGGTCTCTGAAAATGTATGAATTATCATTGTCAGATTGGTGAAATAAATTCACCATTCACTATATTGGATGTTGGATATGAAGGTTTCTGAAATCAGCTCAGATTCTGAGAAGCTAAAATCCACAAGGTTTTCCTTTTAAGAATATGATATCATAGCCGTGGTGGCCGTAGGTCAGAATCTAATTATTCAATTATTCTCGGAGTATTTAAATACTCCTAAGTATTCAAATACTTCCACAGTATCTGAATATTTTACCAGTATTCAAATACTCTGAAAGTATTCGAATACTTCAAATATATCCAAATACTTTGCAAATATTAAATTATAAATATATTCCAACAAATATTTGTGAATATAGATATAATTACCTGAACCAGATAGTTTCTAAATACTCGGTATTTAAATACCGAAAAGTATTTTAATACTAAAAAGTGTTTCTAAATATAAATGATGCCCAGCTCTGTATCTCAGAAACTCCGAACTACTCCAAAATTTGTTTTAAAGCTCATCAGCCGTTCAGCACCTGATGACTTATCGTATTGTCATAAAATTTAATTCGGTATTTCTAGGATACAACCTCCCGACCTTCGTTGTAACAGTGAAGGAAAATTTCGTGTTTTTCACCCAAGATCGATACCCGACTTGCCGACTACAATGTTCGTTTGATTTTCAGCAAGGCTCCGTGAACAACTTCGAGTTCAAGCTCTCCTACAAATTCCTGAAAGTGAGCGACGCACGGATCCGTTACGGAAACGCGACCCAAAGGTCTTACAGGTAATAAAATCGAATAACTTTCTTGATCTCGTGACCGAAATTGGAATCCGACTAGCGAAAGAAATGGCGGTGGCATTGGTGACAAAGCATGCGAACGGCTTAGGCACGCTTAGGTCCGTATAAGAACGAGAAAGAACTTCGGAATTCAAAGGTCCTGTTTGCGATTAAGAGGAAACTGAACGAAAGATATTTGATCGCAGGAACATTGGATCAGAAATCTCTGCGAAGGCGCTGAACGGACATAGCAAGAAAAAAAATTTAGTTTTTCGTAGTTTGATTATATTATTAAAAGATTTCTATGGCATTTGAGCTAATTGCAAGATTTATCTTATAGTTACATGATTGCTCGCTTGTACAATAGGATTCCCGATCTGACAAAAATAAGGAGTTTTAAAATATTCAAAGAACTATTGAAAAGAAAACTTCTCTCAAATGATATCAATATGTTATTGTTTTCTATCACTGAGAATATAACACCTACCTGAGCGATACGAAATGATTTTCGTATGATGTAATTATATAATTAGTCTTCAAGTTAGTGGACTAGAGTAGAGTTCAATCATAATTCTTTTACAGTTTGAGTGTAAAAGAGTGTACACCTGCTAACTGTGTTTGCTGGCAAAGCGCTAACTCTGCCTTTTGTCAGTGGTTTATCTAGCTCAAATTGTATGTACCGAGTTAACTAGACTATGGCAATAATATATTATTATTATACTTATTATCATTATTAAGGCCTGATTAACAGATTTATCTTCAAATTGAGCTGATTGACAGATTCATCTGGCATTTAAATTGATCGCAAAATGTATTTTGCAATTATAATCTGAAAATCGTAAATGTGTTTATGTGAGTGGATATTATGGAATATACAGGGTGATTCATACGAACCAAATATCACAAAAACGTATAGGGTAGTTTATAAGTTATGCTTGATTGAAAAAACGGGGAACCCTGTATCTTGGTTATGAAGGATGATTGACCCATGAACACAAACAAATTAAGGATTTTCAGGCTATAATTGCAGGACAAATCTTGCAATTAGCTTGAATGCTACATAAATCTGTCAATAAATAACTTGAATGCAAAATGAATCGGTCAATCTAACCTTAATTGCAAAATAGATCTTGCAATTAGCTGAAATGCCAGATAAATCTGCCAATTAGCTTAAATACAAGATAAATCGGTCAATTGATTCCTAATTGTAGAAAAAAACTTGCAATCATCTTGAATGCCAGAAAAATCTTGCAAATATATTCAAACGACGAAAAAAAATTGTTTTTTTTGCTATGTCCGTTCAGCAGCGCCTTCGTGAAAATCACTCTCTTGTACGGGATGATTCACCTATAAGGTTTCGTGGTTTCGAAAAATTGTTCAGTGGTTTACCGCCAGCAAAATGAGTTGAATTAATGCGGATTTGGAACAGAAATAATGATGACAATCGAATATCTTTCTAATATCCATACCAATTGTTCATGGATATATATATATAGCTGGAAAAATTCGAACCCTCTTTGTGTTAAGGTGAATCAGTCGTAAGTATACCTACAGGCCTTTGGAAGATCCTGGAGGTTACATTTCGTACAAAAAAAAATGATGAAAAAGCATTTCAAATCCTCGACCAATTTCTCTGTCTTTCTTGTCAGACTGAATATAAAAGAGAGATACTTGTCAATGTCAAATTTTGATGCACCGTTTTCGAGAAGAAATCAGAATAGTTTCCAGTTTTTTCTTTCGTTTTCATTATTTATTTTCCATCACTATTCACGTACACATGCCTCACGCAGTTGGAAAATGTGAGTATCTCTATTATACAGGGTGACCCTGAAAGGACTTTACAAAATTTCAGCACATAGTGCTGAAGTGAAAATAAATCGATTTACAGCAACTCAGCTCGGTCCGAAATTGCTCCGCTTTCGAGATTCATGGTGGTAAATTTGAAAAATAAAAATCGACAAATACACAGAAAGAAAGTATTTTGAAAATTGGATGTTTTGGAAATATTCATAAAAATATTTCCTCGACAAAAAACTGAAAAATTACACTGAGAGAAAAGTTATGGCCATTCTAAACGATAAGAAGTGCATTGGTAAGAACCCTGTCATGGCCTCAGTAAAGAGGTGTCCGTAATCGGGTTCCGCATCACAAAAAGTCCTCGATTACTGACGTGATACGCCTTGAAATGTTCATAAATTTTGGGAAGTTTTATTTATGTTTCAACTTCAACGCCGTGTATCTCGGAAATGCTTGAAATCGGCTCATTTTGATCTCAGGAATATGAGCTGTAATTTTGTACAGACCTTTTAAGGACACCCTGTGTATATCTTTCAATTTTCTAACGTTCGTTTATTCCTATCCCAGATCGTATAGGTAGCTCCAATTCTACGTTCGACATCTTTTCATTTGATTTCAATCTGATAATGAATTTCATGTTTCACTTCAATCGTTCAAGTACTGAAAACAGCTTACATCATGCCTATCATCGGCTAGAATGATGCATTCTCTTTTTTTAACAATTTTACATTATGATATTCCTTAATAATTTTAATAAGATATATTCCAGGAACTACTGGGTCTGTACACAGACAATTCTGATCTCATCTCCTAGGAAATTCCGTCTATGATTCGAAAATGTATATCTATTGAACCCGATATTATCAAAGAACTAGTTAAAAACGCCAAAAATTAACAGAAGGTCCGGAATGTTGGACTTCTTTGGATGAGGGCTAATACTCTCACTCTCACCAGTTGGCGCTACTAACACATAAGGTCAATGTCAAAGTCAGAAATCCAAACATTTTGCCGCATAGCCCTAAAAGCTATGGTCTGTTTCATGAAAAATATTCGATACAATTAATGTGGAATATTTGAACGAATAGTTATCGAAAGACGTGAGCTGTCTTACGTTTTTTTACTCTCAATGTGGAACGTTACGACCGATTCTTATGCATTGACGGAGAAGAAGATATCGTAGGAAATGACCAAATAACAAGGGAAGCAGAAGTATATTCATCAATTCTACCAATATACAGGGTGTCCTGAAATCAGCCTGCCAAACTCCACCAGCGGCTTCTACAACCAAAAATAGGAAGAGAAGTTTCAATGAACAAGAGTCGTGAAATATCTCCTAAGGGAGCTAAAGCCCCCTGAAAGGGGGCTGCTGAAGATGATATTTCTTGAATATTTCCGAAACCCCCCGGATTCAAATCCGAAAAGTACTGTGCCTTGTCTGATGTACCACAAGGCTCGAATCTTGGCCCATTACTCTTTCTGTTATTCATTGATGATCTATGTGATACAATAGATACTCACTGTTTGTGTTATGCTGATGATTTGAAATTATACTCATTGATTATTAACGAGGACGATTGTCATAACCTTCAAACTCAACTGAATGATGTGCATACGTGGTGCAACAATAATTATCTTTGTCTGAATATCAACAAGTGTAAGGTTGTAAGTTATACGAGGAAAACAAACTCTTTTGAGTATCCTTACGAAATTAATGGGTCTAGATTGGAACGGTTGAAAAAATTCAAAGACTCAGGGGTGATTTTTGATCAGAAACTCACCTTTACTGAACATATCGAACAAAACTTGAATATGCAAGTATAATATGGTCTCCATTTTATGAAGTTCACATTCAGCTTGTAGAGAAAGTGCAACGTAGATTTTTAAAGTATTTGCTTTTCAAAATTGACGGTATTTATCCCCGAAGGGGTATCGATAACAACGAACTATGTGAACGACTGAATTTCATGTCTCTAGAAATGAGGAGGGATTGTGCCTCCCTTATGTTTCTTTACAAGATTCTACACAATTTGATAGACTGTAGCGATATACTGGACCAGCTAAACTTTAATGTGCCATCTTATCCCACTTGCAATGCTGTTACCTTCAGAAACACACGAGCTAATACAAATATTATGCTTAACTCGCCTATTTATGTAATGTGCAATAGCTATAACTGTATTGCAAACATGTGTGACATATTCAGTTGTAGCATTAGTTGTTTGATTAAAATTGTAAATTTGCTGCCATAGGATAATGTGATTAGCTATAATTTCGTTATTTCTTATATTATTTTGATCTTTATTTAGCTATGCTTCATCATATTCTGTAACATTGTCCTGTAAATGGGTAACTGTTGAACAATAAAGCTACTATTATTATTATTATTATTACCACTAATGTTATGCATAATATCTGGAAAATGTAAAAACTTCACAAACTTTTTGGCGGCTCGGTGGTCGAGAGCGTGAAGGCGCTGAGTTCGTATGGGGACTCCCACCGAGACATAGGTTAGGTAACCCCGTACAGGTTTCGACTCATGGGGTGTTTGGTCCCAGTGCTGGGACCAACGAGGTATGCAATTGCAAAAAAAATGATTTCCGCAAAATTCTCGAACACACGACTAGTTCATTGTACCATTGTACCTGACGAAGCTACTGTGTTAGCGAAACATGTCGTGTGTTTGAGAATTTTGTGGAAATCTTATCGTTTGTGAAGTTTTTACATTTGCCATGGATTTTCATCAAGTAACGGCCGAGTCAATTCAAAATAATATCTGGAATATAACAATATTTTCAAATCGCTTTTACTCGATAATGTTACATCTTATCGTTACGAAAGAGGAGTACATTTTTTCTGTAAAGAGGTGTAAATTTCCATAATCTGAGATGATATTTTCTTAAAATAAGCATACGAAAATTTTTGAGTAATATTTAATGTAGTCCCACCCTGTGTTAAACATTCCTGAGTGATATTTTGCAATGAATTCATTTCAACTGCAGTGGGCATGGAAAGTTCATTTCTTGTACCAAATTGAATCTTTATATCACATGGAGTTTCGGAAATACTCAAGAAATCATCTTCAGGGGCTGTAGCTCCCTTAAGAGATATTTCTCGTCTCATGTTCGGGACACCCTGTATAATGTTAGCCCTAATTATTGATAAGGTAACCCAGCAAAATATCCGAAATACCGGATCCGACAAAAGGTCGG